TTATTGTGATCCTTCTTGCGAACCAGAACCTCCTCTTTCATCCCTTTCCAGTTGTCCTCCATGGTTTCATCTTGGTGGTGGTCTGAAAAGATGTCAGCTCCTCTCCGGGTTCTCACATCTTCCATTGTCCTTGTAAATGTTTTGTTGATACAACTATGATCTTTTTGTTCTCTGTGGTATGGTCCGGTGAGGTCCATGTAGCTTTGTGTGTGCGTTTGTGGGGGAATATCGTGCCACCTATAACCAATTTGTTGGATGCACATATATTTGCAAATCTATCCTTATTTTCATTTCTCTCCCAGCCCGTGTCGTCTCATTATATCTTCCTGTCCTGTGTTGTACACTCCGACTTTAGCATTTAGATCTCCCATCAGAATGGTCAGGTCCTTACTTGAGCACTTCGCTATAATTGATTGCAGTCTCTCATAGAACTGACCTTTATCGTCGTCGTTGCTATCATTGGTGGGTGCATAACATTAGATAACATTCACTGTGATCCCTTCCTTCTTTGTTTTGAAATGCAATTTATCGGATGGCATGAATCAATCATACAGACGTGGTCACTCTTGTATATTATATTTCCATCATTCATATTAAATATATTGTCCTATCTCCAGCCTAAATGCGTTGTCCATCATATATTGGTGATGAGTCAATTTGGACAATGATGTGACTTTCACGTAAGATCTTATAGATTAGGTGGTCACCTCATTACAAATCTAGAGTTTTAGGATGAGGTCTATTATTAGAGTAGTACTAATGACAAAGTAGACCATCATTCTACAGCACCGCGAAGTTTGCACTAATATAACACCTGCGGCTCTCAAACGTTTACTAAGAGTGTTTGCGTAAGGTTGTGCTGTTAATGCTGCTCAAACATAAACAGCTTGATATGATAAGCCATTGCAGTGATGAATGCCACCAAGAAGAGTGTTAGCAAGCGTATTCGTGACACATCGAACGGTACTTGTTCGTACGATACACGAATTGATGTGACGTTACCTTAAATAAGCTCAGAGTAAGTTGAATTTTATGGGTCGATGGAGGAAGGGTAGCTTGTAAAGAGGCGTACACCGCAGTGTTGCCATTCCCTTCAGTTTGTACAGCCCTCTCCATAAACATATTGGTCACAGTAATCATTTAAAAGCTCGATGTTATCGGTCTGCTAAAGGAGCTTAATATATGCATACCCATGGGACCCAATGAAATGCATCCTAGGTTACTAAAAGAACTAGCAAATTTAGTCGCCAATCCTTTAAGCATAAGTTTTATCCTATTTGTAACCCAGGGTGGTTTACCAAAAGACAGGAAGAATGCTACCGTAAGTCGACCTCAAATTGGGTACTAGGTATGAACCAGAGTGCTATCTACACGTAAGCCAAACCAGCGTGGTTGTTAAAATTTCAGAAAAAGTGTTGTTGAAGAACTTCGAACTTCTCCCTGAAAAGCAGCATGGATTTAGAACAGGTTATTCATGTCTCACTAACTTTTTAGTGGCTCGTGAATGTTTGTGTGCTCTAAAGTGTCAAACGTTACCCGTAGATGTAGTTTAGATTGCCTTCAGCAATGCTTTTGACAAAGTTCCTCACAACTGATCGTTATATAAGTTGAGTGGTATCAGAATTGGGGCGATTTAATAATGTGGATAAAGGACTTTCTATATGGGCGTCAACAGAATGCATTGGGGAACTTAAAGTTGTCTAACTGATAGACTGTGCTTACAGGAGTGTTTCAGTAAACAGTTTTTTGGGCCAGTAATGTTCTTCCTGTGAATTAAGGTCCGTCCTAGTCTCCCATTATCATCGGTTTTATCATATGATTATGATATTAATATAAAGAGGGCGCAGCTCATATGTTCAAATTGTAAGAATAAAGTGTCTATGTATGAAAGCCGTGAGTTTACCGAATAAAATGGATGGGTTGCGTGAACGTAGTAACGTTAATAGTACCCATCTGATTAGAATATGTGAAACATGGATATCTTTTAAAGTTACGAAAAAGAAGCTAGCAATGATCGGCATGCACTTGTTTCGCGACAACAGAGAAACATTAATGGTGGGCGGAGTGGTTTTGTACCTGAAATCTCGCTTGGTAACACATCAAGTGTATACTCGAGGAAATATCAATCTTGATGAATTCGTATGGTGCTCAGCAAGATTTTCTAACACCTCGAGGTGTCTAGTCGGAGTCATCTACAATAAGCGCAATGCTGACACTGAATTCTGCACTCATATGATGGAAGTATTGTCCTTCTCTACTCGTCTCGGATACATTCATATCTTGATTCTGGGAGACATTCTTCCCGAGGTCAACTTTATTGAACACACTTTTACTGGAGGTGACAACTCTGCTAAAGCTCGGTTCCTAAACCTCACTGAACATCTGGTGTTATTCGAAAATGTTACGTCAGCAGCTCGTCAGAGAAACAGTCAGACGCCATCGCGTTCAAACTGTATATTTACAAATTCCTAATTGATAACCTTACGATCTTAGCTCGCCTGGGTTTAAAGTGATCACGCAGTGATAGCCTCCAATCTCACCAGCGAAACTGGGCTAAGGCATCTGACTAACATTAAGTGTTGGAATTTCAAACGGCTGAGTAAGTCAGTTTTTAGTATATCTAGAGCTTAGACTCATGCTATAGCGCATACTACTTGCGAACTGAAACTACAGAACCCTCAAAGTCACTAGTTAGAAGGCAGAAGATAAGTAGGAAGGAATGCTATTCCAAACAGTGTCAAATGTGGCACAAAACCCTCAGGTATTTATGGTTTTTAGTATAAACGAAATCATCACTACAGTCATCCAGTCGGCGTGCAGTAGTTTTTAGCTTTTGTTCAGTAGGGAAACTAAACGTCAAGATTCTGGTGTGTTCTCCTAAAAGACGATAGGATGGAATTTCTCCGTCCTCTTAGAGCTTCTTTGAGTTCGCTTGCGGGCCTTACAGTTTTGCAGGGTAATCTATGACAGGTGGACTGGGAAGTTCACTCTTAACTTGATATAGACACTCACTAGAATTTCATACTGCGGATGAACTTATTTGTCACAAAGCAATCTGTTCCGCAAGAGGTCCCCAAAATTATAAGCAAGCTACAGTAATCGAGAATCTCACTCTTCGTTTGCTAAGCCACAAGAGGTATTACTTGGCGGAATACGGACCAATGCACAAATGAAATAATAGAAGTCAGACTCCAGTATTAGATAAAGCTAGTCGGTAAATTTAACTTTGATGCTGAAGGCTTATCTCATCATGCGACTTCTCTTCGACGAGCCAAAATCGGAGTTTTTTAGTTGCTGAATCTTAAATGCCCAACCAAGAACGACGGTGACTACGCCGACCTTCTGGCTAGACAGTACCTTCGGTCACTCTAACGGACCTGTATTAACTATATTGGTGAAAACTTCAACGGGAACTCCACAGGACTCTCTCACCTAAACAAGACAACCACCTGGCCCGGTTATGGTCCATTCTGCTGTATGAAGGATGTAGTTTCAATCTTGGTAATACCGCTTAGAGTGATGTTCTCAAATTCACTAAGTCATAACACGCTGCCAGAAAACTGGAAGCTGGGTCACATTAAACCGGTCTTCGAAGGAGGTTGAAATAGGGAAACTAGCTTTTAATTGGGTCAATCACATATCTCTTATTAATGGGCTCTAACGATTAGGTATCAAATCGCCATTAATTGATATCTTAATAGTTGGCTTTTTAAGGTCAGGGTTAACTTAACTTTTCCTCAGGCTATGGAATGTCCTAGTGGGGCCCCCAGGGTTCAGTAATGGGATCTCCTGTTTTCTTGATGTACGTAAACGGTCTTCCACCGTAGGTGTCGTCAGACTTATCACTCTTCACTGATTATGGGAAGCTGTGGATAAAAGTTTGCGACCAAAGGGATAAACTAACACTTCAGGAGGGTTTGATTCGTCTTCATAGTTGGGCAGATGATAACGAACTTACCTTCAACACTTCAAAGTGCAAAGTAATCCATCTGCGACACGTTGCAGACTATAGTCGCAACTTAGGAAACTCCTCTCTAGAAGTATCCGAAGTCGAAAAAGATTTGGGAGTGTTGGTACCCTACGACTTGAAGTCTTATGCTGACTGTGACAAAAACGCCTTTCAAGCAAACCTTGCACTAGTAAATTTGAAGCACATTTCTGGCCAGTTTGACGGTAGAACTTTCCGCATAATCTTCAACAGTTTCATTAGTCCCCATTTATAGTACGGAAACATAGTATTTCCTTCCTCCCTTCAAAAAGGATAAGGACACTCTGGAACGTCTCCGACGGCGAGCCACGAAATCAGTTTGGGGACTCAAATTCAAACATTATGAAGAGCGCCTCCAATCATTTAACCTTTACCCGTTAGAGCATAGGAATCTTAGAGGTGACTTTTAAATAACTTAAAGTATCCCTAACGCTTCTGGACATCCTCTTAAACATCTACTTAAGCTTAGTCACAAAACTAACCTAAGGGGTAACACCCAGAAACTGGAGACCCAACATAGCAGAGCGGACTGTAGACACAACTTCCATTCCTTAAGAGTTGTCAAATACTGGAATTCACTGCCGGCTGAGCTAGTCCGAGCGACTTCCCAGGATTTCTTTAAGATGAAACTTGATCTATAATTAAGGACTAAGGATAGCATATTATTATGATTTGCCAGTTTTCTTTTTCCTCTATTATCGTTAATATATAGGTTCTTGCTTGAAGGTATTGATGAACCACTGCTACTAGACACGGAAGCCCGTTAAGCGAAAGCTTCTTCTATTCCGTCCACAACCATTTGAACCATTTGAAGAGAAATCTTGACATATTCTTGATGACTAAGGACGGCATCTCGCTATAATTTACCAACCTTTTCTCTTTTATCGTTAAGTATGCCTAGGTACCTACCTGGAGGCATCGGTGATACATTGCTACAAGATACAGTAGTCTGTTAAGCATAAGCTATTCCGTTAAGAACCTGAACTATTTGAAAAGGTGCGCTACTTTCACGATGTCCAAGGCTATGGAAGAAACGAAGGTTTCTAAAAGTATATTGAAGAAGTCCAGTGATCAGGGACCTCAGAAAAGCTTCCAGTGGGATGAATCAAATATTCTAGCTACTTATCATCCCGCAGACAAGACGTATGGTCATATGAAAATTGAAGAACCAAAAACACCATACGTTTTTGACTCTGAAGATGGTTCTGCCACCAATACTGGACCCTTATTTACTCCAGAAGATTTAGCGGCCAGGCTTTCTGCCGCTTCAAAGGATCCTGATCAGCAGCTGGTGAGTCTCACATTCATTTCTCTATTGTTTCGGAGTATTTTATAACTGTAAAAGCAATGTCTATATCACTATTCTGATATAGTTCATTTTTAAAACGTATTTTGCGATGCCTTGGTTTTCTTCACTTCAGTTGAAATCTAGCACTTGTTAACTCATCATACAATATGTATGGGATTTTCGCTGCTGGATCCAGCAGCGTATTTCCTATTCTCCCCATTTCCTGCGGAACGGCACTCTTCATGTATATACCAAATATTATGTCCTTGTATCATGGATGGATTCTTATTCTTGCTTGTTCTCAGACATTCTTATTCATCGTTCAGGTTTCTTTTCACACAGTTCACTTCCCTTAATTAGTCTTTAATAAGCTATTTTTAGTGGTATCAGTATAGACTATATGGTCGTGGTATTCATTACCACTTTTACCATATATTGTAACAATTTATTTTAGGTACTCATTTACTGTTGTATTTCACTTCCCTCTAGTGGGGTAGTGATGACCCTAGGACGTGATCAGCCAGAAGTTTTAACTCAACGAGCTTGTCGTTGGTAAAAACTCTTCTGATAGCTTTCTATGTCCAGCAACATCTGGTCGTCTTTCCCCAATATGAGGAGCCATAAGATACAATATAACAATACTAAATGTACGATGGAACTTTTAACTCATAGTATTCTTCGTTAGCTTTTCATCTTTTCCAGCCGTCCTGGAAAGGAGAACAAATCAAAGTGCAGGTCAAAATACACTCACACTTGTGTAGGGAAGCAGAAGGTGCGAAGAACCTGGTATATATGTGTGTATATATCACGTTATAGCGTCGGAGATTTCTGTGTGAAAGGGTCTTTTGGGGTTTCTCGGAGAAAAATATATACATATATAAGCATACTAAAAGAGAACAATCTTTTTCACACAAAGCAAAAATACCCGACAAAATTATTGCAGGGCGCAAGAAAAAAAGTGAAATGTAACGTTATGCAATGTCCTACGTGTAGTAGTCGTTTGAGTGTTTCCGAAATCTTATCGTTCTTCCAGAACTCGTTGTTTCTGACGGTTTTCGGATACCAGCGAAGTTGTTTATCGGATGTTGCATCGTAATCATGAGGCTCACATCGCTCCATTGTACAGGAGGCGACTCAACATAATCTTCTTTTAGATATGCCTCATTAAGACGGTCAATGCTGATGTTATTGTTAGTTCATTGCTTATCGATGGTCTGATACTTAAGTTTGCGATAAAGGGCGTTCAAGGGCCCTCATATGCCATTTCGAGAGATCGTTGTAGTAATTCGTGACATACTAAAACGTGTGTACTTTGTTACAAAACAGGTTGGACGAAAACAGTCGACTGCGGTCGAGTGGAAACGGGTTTAACTAAACTCATGGCGTTTGTTTATCTGCTAGTGTATGACTTAAGACCCACATTCTTTAAAGAAGAAGTGAAGTCCACAAATTCTTTTAAAAGTTGGTGTCTTTCCGTAAACGAGTTGTGCCGCAATTTATCCAATGTGAGCTAACAATAGTGGAAGGGCTTCAATCCAGTTCGATTCTTTGTCAGCTGAGAATGAGGCTCTCAACTGTCGGTGAAATCGTCCTACCAACCCGTTGGCTTGAGTGGAAGGCGGTTGTTCGGAATCGTGTGATTTCTAGTAGTGTAGTAAGACAACAGAAAGTTCGATTTGGAACTGGCGTCCACGGTCTGTAGTGATGGCTGAAGGGCATACGAAGTCTACCACTCATCGTTTGACGGTGTGGGCCACCGTATCGGCCGTGTTGTCCCTGATAGGTACTGCTGGCCGTTGTGTGATACGGTCCACACATGCCAGGGGGTGAAAGTATCCATTTGAATTTGGTAAGGGCCCCATCAAGTCAGGGTAAACATTGTTGAAACGTGCTTCACAGGTTGAGAAAGAACCTAAGGGACAATTTTTATGTCTAATCATTTCAGATTTATAGCTACTTACATAGGAGCTTACCTAGTGCCAATCTGTTTTCATAGTAATGGTTCTATTATTATCGGATAAGTTGTTTTTAAAGCCCTAAAGATTGTCTTCTTGCAAATCACTGTAGGCTACTTGCAGTAACAACTTGTCATTGTTTTAATAGTTATTGTATCAAGATATTTAGATCGTCTAGTCTTTGTTATATTTTGTCAGTGTAGATATATGGAGAAGGATCTCAGTAAAGAATGAAATACACTTTTCCCAGAAATTAGAAGTTAAGCGAAATAGAAAGATGGAAAATAGCCATAAATGACAGATAAGTGAGAAAAAACGGATGAATTTTCTCCATTTTAACAATTCCAAACCACAACTTTTTATCATGCATCCTCTCGAGTATCGTAGTCTCCAAGTATGCGTCACTGTACACAACTTAAGTCAGCAGTTAGTAAACTCATACACTTGTGGAACATCTTTCGCTATTCTTTTTCCCAACATAATCCTACTTTAAGCATCATTACACTATGGATCGACATTCTCAGCAGCTTAGTGCAGGTCTATATCATCACTTGACTTGTATTCAATGCCTCCACAACCCAGATTTTGCATTGTAAGCAACTGTTATGTTTTTCGTCTTTAACTCGCTGACCGAGGACAAATGGATTAAATAAGATTGCGAATTGGAATGTTTACTTAGCTAATTGAATTAACTGACATTTACAGTAGTAATGAACACGATTAGACTGAAGTTTTCGTAGGATGAATAACAAATATATAGATGGGTAGGCAAAAAAATATATTTAAATTAAAATGGTATACATATAAGGTATTAAAATTAATAACACAACTGAGGACAAGTTTGGAATAAAGTAATGTATTAGTAGGTCACATCCTCCATCAAATTTTCTATTATAAAATCAGCATACAATTGTACGAATTTAACATGCTTGTGTTGAACACAAAAGCATTATGTCGGTCGGGAATAAGTGAGATATGTTACGAATGACTTCCTTGTTCCATCAGTGAAGCTATCGCACAAATATTCTCGATACAGTCTATATGAGCAGTAGATTTGTCTCCTCTTAAGTAGTATTCACATGAAATGTGTACGCGTAAATGGTTTACTTTATACCAACTGTTAAGTTGGGCTGATTCCTTCTTGTGAACAACTCTCAACATTTATTGCTATCTAACGAATCTGAAGAATTTTTTGTTAAGTGAATGAGTAGGCGAAGTTTATTCGAAATTCATAATGTATCTGCGCCATACGTTTTGAACAATTTAGCCACTCATATGCTTGTTTAGGCATTTATCAAAATTGGTGGTCAAGTAAACATAAAGTGATAATTATAAATAGGGAAGAGAAACAGTGCAATTTATAATAAAATAAGATGTCACACCACCCTAGTTTATTTATTTAAACACATAAATATTGGTACAAAGGGGTACCAGATATATACGCGCCGCACAAATCTCATTTGATTTGTGTGAGGGCTATGATACTGCCCGGTTGCCCAAACCGAAACAGGTGGTTTTCTTAGGGGGCCACACCCGGGGCCTTTGACCCAAAGGTCCGGTTCACAAGGCAGTGGAGCAATGTAAGGAGATGCAGTCCCATGGTAGCTGGTGACTAACGATAGGTTCATACTCCATTTGTTCCCTTAGGGTACTAAAGCCCATCTACACCATTAGTTTGGAATCAGGTTTTCCCAACTCCCCCAGGTGGACCCTCCGTCTCCACTAATCAGGTTGAAGCGCCGGAGTTTCGCTATTCGTCCTCTCATTTCCGCAAACAACAGTAATGCCACGAGAAGGCAGTGAGTAGGACTTCCCTGGCAGAGGCTATATACGCGTGGCTATGAGAGAAGGAGAACTGACTGTTCCCACTCTCGGCCATACCAGGGCATTTGGGGGCCATGTAGTAGTCAGAACACCTTATGTAGTCATGAATTTGTAGTTAATGCACTTGACTTTCAGTCAGTAAGTCGTACTATTAAACCGTGCCCCACCTTACTTTGAGTAACCGGTTAATATCACTAGTCACACGGTTTTTTTCAAAGCTTAGTGCATGAACTCACACTTGATAAAAAAGTAACGTAATATGTAGTAGTGGATTTCAGTGACTAAGCTTAAGCCTTCGTTTATACGGTATGCTAAGTTGCACGCTTCCTGAAAAAGCTAGTTGCAAGTTGACTACTTAAAATATTGTACTATTACGTCCTGAAATTTGTTTTAAGACAATCACTCTACTACTAAAAGTGCTTCTTGAATATCTTGAAAAATGATTGACTATATCAATTTGTTTTCTAATGTTATCAAGGTATATTATGTGATGGCTGTTATTCATTTACAAAAATCAATTCCCATGATTTATCTATTAAAAACTAGATGCACTTTAGTTTCTTGCTGCAGATGAATACTCCTATTCTTATATGAGACGTAGTTAACTAAACCTTCAGTATGCCTACCGTATGATATTTATGTTCAGATAAGTAGCACTAAATTTAATTATCAAACGTTGAAGTTGGTGCATGTATCAGTATTTGTATATTTATCTGAACACAAATATTGGTACAAATGTGCACCAAGTTAAATATAAACCACAAAAAAAGTGAGTGAAGTTGTAAAGTAATAGATGAACGAAGGTAAACAATTGATAACTACGTAATGTCCGAAACCATATGAATCAGAATGTGTCTATGATCTACATCTTTGTATTATTACACTGTTCTGTTTAAATTAATGACATGGAAATCCCCTCAATCTATGTATTACTTATTCCTAATTTAATTGTTTTAATCTTAGCCAAGTGCCACAAAACTCGACCAGGAAGAAGATGAACATCAGAGAAAATTTCGTGAAAAACGGAAGCAACATTACAACGAGTTTTTAGCCGTAAAGCTAGCTAAAGAAAGTCTACAAAATGATGACGAAGAAGGAGAAAATATTGAAAAAGAAGACGAAGAAGATGAAGAAGTTGAACATAATGTTGAGCAGGCAATTATTAATGCACGATTAAATGCTGAGATTTCCCGTTTAAGTCGAAACACAGAGCAACCTATCCCTAGTATTTTGAGAAATCAGAATTCTTCAAGATCTCACCTATGAGAGATTTAAGATATTAAATATTTTCAAATTGTTCTTTATTTATATGTACAAATATTCGTTTACTTAGATCCAGTTCTCTCAGTTTTGGCCATTTCATGTTATGGTTACAATCCATGATGCAATTGTTTGGCGTTCCTTTATTCGACACTGTTCATACTCTGTCTTAAAACTTATATGTTCTAAGCTACCGCCACACAATTTAACTGATAAATTAAAACACTTTACATAATATTTTTGTTTCAGAATCACAGGTCATCCCCATATTGTAAAATAAACTAATATAATACGAATCCTACTAATCTCATTTGACTTTTTCATGATATGAACTTCTTTTTCGTAATGTTGGAACTTATACTTCAGAGAAGAATGGACAATTATTCAACTTCTGTAAGGCGAAATGGTATCCTGTTTATTAGAACAACTTAACCTTGCATTACTGTCGAATGTATGTGTATATTGAAGTCTATAAATGTCTTGTGGACATAGTAGAAATGCAAGTCTAGTTTCCATGAAAATACAAACGTACTGTACCACAAACATCAAACCTACTATTCTTTATATTATCGGTAAATAAGTGTGGATTTGTTCTTCAAATTTTGAAACTTATTGTACAGCGAAATTAATCGACATAGGCCTCGAACTTGCTACTCTGTAGCTTACGTTCGACTCTTTTCGACCACAGTACAGCTTAAGAAAAGCTACAGCATACTCCAAATAGAGCGAGTAGAGGAAACGACTGAAATATATTAGACTAATTGTTCATTATATGCATTTGTTAACTGTACAATCTTTAATATGAAAGATTCATCATCAGAGGGTATTACTTATTGTTCAGGTAAGAGACTATTTAAAGTTACACTTGTTAAGGTGCTGGAGAAAGCATTAACATTTTGTCATTCTGGGAATAATTAATTTCCTGAGACTTGGGCATATTTAAGCAACGTACTTGCTAAACGTAGGTATTCGTTTTGTCTTTTTTCAGCTTAAACTACTATGTTTGGAAAACATTTTATTTGCATAATTCGCACATGATCCGTTAAACAGTCAAAGTCATCGTCTAAATCTAGGATTAATTCCGTAGGTTAAACAATTTGATTGTATAGGATTAAGAATATTCACCTAGTCTCCTTTGCCAAATGTTTTTGAGTCAGTATCAACCGCTCTATTTAATAAAAATTTCCATGGTTATGACAAAAGACTCTTAGCAAAAAATATAGATTATTGCGAGAATGCATGCCTTATATCCACTTAACCTTTTAATAATGCAATATTTTGTATTAGGTGATAAATATCTTCATATATATATATATATATATATATATATATATATATATATGCAAATACCGATAAATAAATACATGGGGTTGAGAAATATATTTTGTTAGTTAGAACAGATTTAAAGCGGTATAATGTAACTGTAATGTTTGTATTATTGTAAGATACACAGCATACAGGTAGCTCCGATGAAAATAACAAATTAATACGTCATCTAAATGCTGCCAATTAGTTAATTTATAGAATCTTACATCATTTCCTTCATCGGACTTTCTAGGAATAAATGGTTTGTCGGAAGTTCACAATATGTTATGTTAAATCAAAGTACTACCATATTCGACAAGTATTTAACTAATTTTTTATAATATTTTGACTGTATTGACACTTTACAATAATAAGAATAATACATTAAACAACCAAAAAGGAATAAAACCTGACAGAAATATTGATTTTCAGAACTAAGCGATAAACACATGACATTTTGTGCATTATCATTGTTAATCATTTAAATATCTATCAGATTGCTTGTAAACCTATAACACTAATTCAGATTATAGGTATCAACATTCAAGGAATTAGTCGTTTAAAGATTATTGGTAGAAATGAAAATACCTATCCCCGAAATTAGTGTTTTAGGTTGACAAGGAGTGTGACATGTATGTCACCATAATCAATGTTGTCAATACAGTGTCATTTGTGCATTTTATTATATTTTATTTTAAGGATTATCAGTCGTACAGTTTTATATCATGCACAGAAACTGAATATATAAAAACAAATCGTGTTATTTGCACACTGTGTATCACTGACAAATATCACTATTGGCATTGATGATTAAACAGTCAAGATTTAAAATTATCTTCATTGGTCGCAACAATAAATTGTGTCAGTCATGTAATATGCAATTAACGACTTATGCTTTCACTGAAGCAACTAGTTTACATTATTACACATTGTAACTATAATTTTCAGACAATCATAATGTCTTTGTTTCTTTGACAGTTCCAGTAAAATATGACACCCTGAAGATAAAGACAACCAACTGTATGCATGTAACTATGTAGTATAATCTTCAGGACGTCGGTAGGTGGTAATATGATCTTTAAAACCTTCCAGTTTAAGAGAAAATTTATACCAAGACTGTAATATGAGATAGTAAATGGAGAACTATATGGGTTATATTAACAAACTATTTACATTTATTCCTTTAGCAAATGAATACTGTTACTGTTAACCTGTTTACGAGCTGCATGTTTAACTACTAGAATTAGAGCCACACTTCACTCGTGTTGGGGATTAATAATTCTGCTCAGTTGCATTAATCGATGTTGGTGAGTTGTAGCTTGAATCTGAGAACTAATAATCAAAATCTGAATGTTTTAAACATTAAATCCCCTTTCCATCACTGTAAGTTCTGTACTCCAGCTATTTATTAGCCTTTTATTCATTCCCTTACTGGTATTTTGTAAAATCCTCCTTTGTCAGATCATTTCTCATAAATCCTGTGACAAAATTCTAATTACTCTAGATAATACTAGATTTTCGATATAATTCTCGGCATAAATTGACACAAACTGATGAATATCTCGGAACTAGAAAATACTTCATAACTATTTTGTTGTAGTTCAATGTCTCTAAGCATTTTATAACCAAGATACTATATGTAGATGAATTTTGGAATTCCATAGAACTGGCAAACATGATATCTACTAACTATCGAGTTGAGACCTAGTTTTACTCACAGTTATCAAAATCAGCAAAACTAACTACTACTAATTACTTGGTTTAAAGAAACATGTTCTATTGGCAGGACAAAGTGTGCTCATTCCAATCACATATACGAACAATATCCGCCATGATTATCTTGAAGTGAATGCAAATCTTTCAATTTTAGAAAATAAGATAAATTCCACGGACGTTCAGTAATGACAATAACTTGAATATCATGTCAACTAGACGCCTTGATGGTTGCTCATTTGTTAAAAACTTATTTTTACCAACTGTCTGTTTGTTATCTTTTATCATTTCGCCCCCTACTCTTTATTTATGATTTCATATAAAGCATATAAAAACTGTCATGTCAAATGTGTTGTTTCTCTTGTCATTTCGAACTAAACTTTATTGATTACCGTATATAAAACTTGCCACCTGTCTGTTCCAGAAACGTTTTACAAAAATTGGTTTTAAGGGAAGCTAAATACGAAGCTTTTATATAGCGGAGGCTTTGGCAATCTATAAATTCAAGCCTTATCTTATGTTTAAAAAGTGATATGACTAATCCGCCTCTTATTTTGTAAGCTATTTTTCAATTGTGTTCGTGTTGTGGTTGTTCCATCCGCAAGTAAAACTTATGAGGAAAGAAATTAATGTTGATTTAAGGTAAATGTAAAGTCGACTTTCAACACATTTTCGTTACATCGCTTTATGGATTTTCTATATATTTTACCATAGTTTGTGTTTGGTGACAATTACGCAGTTCATTAATTCTAATCATTGCAACCTATGTATAATCGATCAACTTAAATGTATTTTTAATTCTACTGGGGACATTATTAAATAAAGTTTCCATTATGAAATTCAGCTACTATCTGTAGTTAAAAAAAGATAGAATAAGTATTGTTTACTGTAGTTGGAGTTGTAAAATATGAGTTTGGTGCACGGACATTTCAGTTCATTGCTTTGTCTTTTTCCTAATTAATTGTCTTGTGAAAAAATCTTATTTTTTATAATTTTTTAACATACATTTATCTCTCCTCTATCTTCATATTTATCAGTATACGATTGTGGAGATTGCTAAGTTTTAATTTACTTCATGAACCGTTGGATGCCGGCTCAGTGGTCTAGAGGTCATGCGTTCGCGTGCAAGACCTAAGATGATGGGTTCGAGTCCCACGTGCGGGATTGTGGATGCACACTGATGAGTAGTCCCATACTAGAACGAACAGAACGTCCTGTGACTTCAGGTTTTCGGTAGTGGTCTAACATTGATCAATTCATGAACTCAATTAAAATTCATCATATTTGTCAAGTGGGAAATCTTTAAAAATTTTATTTTTTTGTCCCTGTTATCAGTGACTTAATTTCCGATTATACTATGAATTACTGTGAAAAAAATAATTACAAATACAAATGTATAGCTTAGTTAAACTATATTATTGAAAAGGAAATTCCTCTGATCCATGACCTTTACTTCTTATTCAATTAACAGTATAAGTTTCGTTCGCTATTTTGAAAAAAATAGTTTATTGACATGCTTTAATATCTATCTAAAAAAGTGGCCTATATGATTTCTTACATTATGAATTAATGGCATGGTCGAAAAGTCATGTCATTGATTCTCGCTCATATTTTACATGTCGCGGATTTTTAATGTCGTTTTTTATCGGCTAATCACAGCATTTTTCCGTCACATGTTAATTTTTGTAATATTTATGCGTATTACATGGCGTTTATTGCAGTCTATTGGTTGCCTGACCTATTTGGAGCTGACAACCTGGATGAATGTTTAGTCAGCCTAATTTGGTAATTTGTAATAATGCAAACTCAGACAAGTGAAATTCATCATTTATCAAGTCAAAAATTAGACCGAAATTATAGTTTCAAGCAAAAACAAGCTGCAAAATAATTTACATATGACTCATCTCCCTTATTATGGTAGTGATGAACATGGGTGTTGGTAGTTGTTTATAAATTGAAATTGAAGAAATTGAGAGTCAAACTATTCA